TCTCTCTCTCTCGCGCTCTCTCTCTCTCTCTCTCTCGTGCGCTCTCTCTCTCTCTCGCGCGCGCTCTCTCTCTCTCACTCTCACTCACACACACACACACACACACACACACACACCAGGCTACAATCGAGAATCCCATGAAATGCTTATTGCCCGCTACTATAAAACTGATGAACCGTTCAAGACAAAAAGGTGTAAAATGGCATAATTGTGCTGTGTAGGTGTCAGAATAAAGGTCTTTATTGTGCCGTTTTTATTTAAAAACAGGAAATTAAAAAGCATACTTTTATACACTTAACTACAAGAAATTATGTTGAATATTATGATTGTTTTCTGCAGAATATTTATTTATGTTTATGAAAGCATGAAGTATGTAGTTAGAAATATAAAAACATAACAGTTCAAATAATAAGGTACATCAAAGTTAAAAATTAAAATTAAAAGACCAGAGAAATATATCGATCTATTGTGGATAAATATATAATTTACATAGTGGAGTTGAGCGAGCAAAAATGAGCAGTGAGTCAGAGAACAACTAAATTTATGACAGCTGCTGTAGTCTATGTCACATATATTCAAAGGTTTATTTGTAAAGCACTAAAATGTGCATTTCACAGTGACAAGAACATAAAACACATAAAAAACAGCACTGCAGTGTCTTTCAGAACAGCAAATAAGATCATTTTCAGTTCAGAAGGGAATTTGGTGAAATATAAAATATTAGGCAACGTATAATATAACTTCTACTACTACTGCTACTACTACTAATATAAACACACAATAATACATATTTTGTGTTTTATTAGTAGTATTAGTATTATGTATTATTAATATTATAAGTTGTCTAATATTATATATATTTCACCAAATTCCCTTATATAAAACATTATTTACTGTATTGAATTAATATTATTGGCTATATTTAATTTTTGAAATATACTATTATAATGTTAATATTATAATATTTATATATGATCTGTGGATCTATATACACAATGTTGTTACTAGACCTTCTTATGTTTTCCCCCCTCAGGAATGAAGTTCTCTCAGTAATTTTTCATCTTATTTATCTTTTTATGTATTAGACAACTTTTATCTTAGAATATGGTCAGTCTATTTTTGATCTGCAAATGAAAGTATTTTCAAAGTTGTTAATGTTATTAAGGAAAGTTCTATGAAATATTTCCAATTCCAAAATTTTCCATTCTATCTATCTATCTATCTATCTATCTATCTATCTATCTATCTATATATCTATCTATCTATCCACAAAAAAAAAATCCACTTTTTGTGCTGTGAAAGTTTTTGCCCCTTCCTGTTTTTGAATTTTTTTTGCATATTTGTTACACTTGAATGATTCAGATCATCAATATTACACAAAGAGTAAATACAAAATGCAGTTTTGAAATGATGATTTCATTTATGATTTAATTTTTATTGCCTGGCACTACGTGAAAAAGTAATTGCCCCCTAAATCTAATAACTGGTTGTGCCACCCTTTGCAGCAACAACTGCAATCAAGCGTTTGTGATAACTGGCAAGTGACTGGCGAGTCTTTCACATCGCTGTGGAGGAATTTTGGCCTACTCTTCTATGCAGAATTGTTTTAATTCAGCCACACTGGAGGGTTTTCAAGCATGAAAGGACTTTTAAGGTCATAACACAGCATCTCAATCAGATTTAAGCCCGGATTTTGACTTGGCCACTCCAAAACCTTAATCACCTTTTCATGTCACTGTATATATATATATATATATATATATATATATATATATATATGTAAAATATTATAATATTAAATTATATTTACATATTTCTAATACACACACACTTGCATATGTGGTTTACGGAGGCACTCCTTAGATGTAATGGGTTTTATACAGTACAAAGTGTATTTTCTATCGACTTACACTAA